GGGGGGGGGGGACTAGCAACAGTGACTTACAGACTCTCAAAGTAAAATTATCAAATTTGTGTCACTTTTGCCTGCATGTGAACATAACATGCAGTCCCCCCCATGTTGCTACAACTTAACGTGCATCAATTTACCTGGAAAAAATAAATCCTTATTTAAACTGAAAACATTTTTGACCATTTGATACTGAAAAATAAAATATTATCAATAAAGAGTAATAAATTCATATTGATCAGCAACAGTTTAACTCATGAGTGTTATATAAAACACTTTTTGTCCAGCCTTTTTTTTTTTCTATCATCCAATCAGATGTGGCCGACCAGACACGCCCATTTTTCTATCGTCCAATCAGATGTGGCCCACCTGACCCGCCTATTTTCCTATAGTCCAATCAGATATGACCCTACCCCACCCCGATACGCCTTGTCCAATCAGATGTGGTCCCCCAGATACGCCTTCCGAATTTGCCTGCAGTCATACCTACTTGAACCCAAATGGCTTGGCGGTCCAACTTTGGCCCGCGGGCCCCACTTTGGTTACCTCTTCTCTACGTCGATTCAAGTGTTGCTTCATGAAACCTTTGCTTCTCGTCAGGGAGCTGGGGGGGTTATTTTGGAGCCAGCTTTAACCCAGGGGCTGCCCCCTCCCTCCCTCGGTGCTCCTCGGAGCAGAGCTGGTTGTCGGCAGATGGGGGCGCCTCTCCGCCGTCAGTCAGACACCCCCACAGACCTTGTGTCCGTCGTCCCTCCCCGGCGGGGCTCGGTGACGGGCGGCCAGCAACCGTGAACAGGACTAGGCTCGGTCCGGCCCGATTCGGTGAGCGTGCGTGTGATGAAGAAATCTGGGTGTTTTCAGAAGAAGTGAGGCAGCAGGAGGAGCCGTGCGCGTCCGAGCTGCCTGACCAGATGACCAACTTCTGAAAAGTCCATCTGAGCTGGCTGGCTTTTTTTTTTTTTTTTTTTTTTCTTCGCGTTTTTCCAGCTCCGAACTTCGGAAGAAGTGAGTAAAAGTCACGTTTCTGACAAGTCCAGTGGGTCGAGTTCATTTATAGCTTCACGGTTTAAGGAGCAAACGCACGACTCGGAGCTGCTGAATTAATGAGCTCACTTTTTATTTACGCGTTAGGCTGCTTGTTTCCAAACGTTTCCAACCTCTTAGAATAATCTACATGCTTGTCCTGCTGCAGGGCACAATGAATGCACATCATCAGAGGAAAAAAAGCCCATTTGGTTGTATTTAAAAGTAATTTAGTGGTCTGAGTGAAGTTCTGCACTTTGCTGTTGGAAGAAGACTGGGATGAAGTGACAGCCATGAGTTGATGGGTTTAAACCTTCTACTGTCTCTATTGTGGGCTGTTTTCACTCCACATGAAACAACATGCTGCTCAAAGTTTTGCTTTAAGGTTTTCATCTTTGCAATAGAAAAATTAATGTGAGTCCTTGTTTGTGGCTTTGCTTGCATGATAGAAGAACCATAGTGATGACTTTTTGGACTCATAAGCAGTTTTTTTTATTTTTTTATTTATAGCACAAATCTTAAAACCCTTAAACAACGCAAGAGCATCACTGCTCATTTGGTTTCTGCTTCAAAAACCCAATTTTCTGACCTAATCTGAATCATGAGCGAGACAGCGGGATTGATGGATTATGCGTTTTAGCAGACAGAAAACTTTACTGAGAAGAAATGTGTCGTACATTCAGTGGTGTTTAATTTAGCATGGCACGATTTGGGTTTTTATTTTTGCACAAATTAAAGACGTGACTTGCAGACAACGTGATTCAGCTCATGGCTACATTGAATTTGTTTTTGGTATATTGTGGATTATCATTGTGATCAAGCTCTTTATCACTGCATTGATTGTGTGACGGTGAACTCTTTTCTTAAGCATAATTAGATCCACACAGAGGGACTTTTTTTTTTTAATTTTATTTATTTATTTCTATAGTGCTTTACACCACCACGGTGATGGTGACCAAAGTGCTTCACAAAAACAGTAATTAAAATGACAACAAGTTAAAAGCAAGAAGAAAACAATAAAATAACAAAAAGAGAACCAGAAATGTCACCACGTATATAAGTACTAAAACCTGTTGGAATAAAAAAAAAGTCCTACGCTTCGATTTAAAAAGGGCCAAGTTCAGTAATCTGACGTAGCTCAAGTGGGAGTTTATTCCAGAGTCGAGGTGCGGCCGCAGAAAAGACATCGTCACCCCAGCGTTTATATTTTGTCCTAGGAACAGAGAGCAGGAGCTGGCTGACCTCAGAGACCTGGATATTTATGAATATTGTTTCTAAACAAAAATATAAATTTTCATTATTCCCGACTGTTGCACTGACGAAACCTCTACATTTGATTATTGTTTCCCAGATGTGCTCGTCTTCAGTAACAATGATCATCTCAGAGTTTTAATGAAGGCCTAGCATTCCTTGAAGGGATGCAAATCACCCGTTTGCTTTCATGGAAAAGTTTTAGACTAAGGTCATCTTATAGTGAGAAGTAACTTTATAGTTCCAAAAAAGTTCAGTCGGGTCATCTGGACGGATTTTTCTTGGTTGAAACAATTCATCTTTCACCCGAAAGACTTGATCAGTCTGAGGCCATGCGACAAACTCAGTCCTACAAATAGCACCTTCTCAAAGTGGATAAATCAGTTTGCTGGGGACATGCAGAACTAGCTCTTCACATGTAAAAGGAGGACCATAAATCTGAGGGGCCATTTACAAAGAGCATATTTGAGTGAAACCGCATCTTTCTCTCTGTGGATCAGCTGTTCATTTACACAACACCAGTTGCCCACCCCCCTGATGAATCCAGAGGTTTTTCAACTCACCTCTCGGGAGTGGAGGTTTTCTGGGCAACCGCACGTAGAGTCGTATATGTCACACGAGCACCGACCAACATATTTCTATCAACAGCAATGGCGCTGGAGTATAACACACTGCTTTCTGTCCTACGACTGATGGAGTATAATTTGAGTCTCGTGGTTAATCTACATCGGAATGTAGCTGCTGCGACCGACATCTGTGTTGGGAAGAGACGCCATTCGAATCCAGTTCGAAATCGCTGAATGAGCCTGTCGAGGCAGGCGTATATTTCACGCATCGCGCTGGACTATAACATACCAAATGTGCTGAATAATAACAGTTTAACAATAATAAGCTGTGTTTCTGTTAGTGGTGGGAGATGTAATGAAGCTGTCTGGACATTATGTAAGTCAAGTTATGTGATTTAAACGATGTGAAACATATTGCATGTTAAAGTTGAAAATGAAGACATCAGGTTTAATTTTTATTTATTTATTCATTCAACACCACAAAGTGTATGTCACACAAACACTGATAAGAAAACTGAATACTATGAAAAACACGTTAACCGAACTGCAGACTACAAAGTACATTAATGAACTGGACACTTCCTCTCTGTTGTCATCCTGTGTACTGGCACCATGTTGTTTATCTGGCTTGTTCAGGCTGTCTCTCCTTTTCTTAATGTAGCTTAGAACAGAATGGATTGAATAAAAGAACTGGAGGGGAATTTTAAATGAATAGTTGCTCCAACACCTCTCTCCGACGTCCTCCTTCACCACCGAGGTGTATGCTGTCTTCAGAAGTGAAGTAAACGCACACAAACATTATCCAGAAACTGTATTTACCTGCTGTAACATTGCTCGACAGCTACTGATTGCCACCGGAGTAGAAAGTCCGACATCATCCTCGTCAGTGCTGGTTCGCTCAGCGATCGGTGTCGAGCTGTTAGATGAAGCGGTCGTGCTTGGCGTCAAATCCGTCGACTCGTATCCAGAATCCAGCTTTAAGTTTTGTTGTTACTGGGCTTTCAACCCAGAGGAAGGACCTTACTGAGAGCGTTCCCAAGCATCGCGCATGCACATTAGGTGAATGTACAAAATTCACAGCGCCAACTAGAGACCTGGCATGGCAACTAGAGCAGATTCAGGGGGGTTACTGCAGATACGTGTAAACACCAAATCCGCGCCGTGTCAACGCAGATTTTTTTTCCTCGAAGCAACATATAAAAAAGATAAACAAACAAACAAAAAAGCATACGTTTCCCTCCGCCATTTCCGTGTAAATGGGGCCTAACAATCGATCGCCAGTAACCTAACAATAGATCATTAGTGCCCTGACGGCTGCTTGCTATTCACAGAAATAGCCTGAGGCAAACATGGTCAAAGTGGTTCAAAATGTGTAGCTTTTTTCAAGCTATTAAAAACATTCTCAGTCTCACACCTGTTCGCACTTGGGCTATGTGTTGTGAATGACAGTCAGCTCCCACCACACCAAAAACCCATCCAGTGGTTCATGAGATATTTTACTAACAGGCAAACAGGGTTGACTCCAGCAGGTTGTGCCAAGGTTAAGATGTTATTATTGAGCATGGACTTTGTTGTTTTCAATCAGTTTGACAAGACTGTCAACAAGGAAGAGGGCCGGCAATGGAGGAGGGGGCGTACCAAAGAGACCATCTTATCACAAGCAGAACTGGTTTGTTCCACTTTGGAGTAAGCTGTTGGGGGAAGAATCAGTTTTGTTGTGCGTTTCCTTGACTGATGAAGTCTTCCGGATCGAAGGCGAAACGTTTCAGCACAAAAAAAGAAACTGTCCAGATGACCTGACTGAAAAATGTTGGGTTAAGATAACATCTTAACCCAATCCAGATGTTATCTGGATTATTGAGCATGCATCAGGATGTTAAGATGTCATGTTTCATACATGTTCAGAACGATGCTCAGCTACCAATATCTCAGAGAGAATAATTTCAGTTATAGCTGTGTGGCAGCAGGCCGCTGACGGGGTGTTTTAATAGATGAGTCGTGGGGAGTTGTACGAGACATTAGCTCCATCAGTTTCTCAACAAAAGTACGTGTGATGTTCTTCACCTTTGACAGCCCAGCAGCACGCTGGAAGCCATTAGATATTGCAAATGTCCTCGTGTGCCTATCCATCAGAGGTGGTTGTCAGGGTGTGCTTGTGTGCATCGTACAGAGAGAAACAGCAGCTTTACAGCACATTAGATTTAATGAATATCTATATATCTATATATCTATATATCTATATATATCTATATATATCTATATATATCTATATATCTCTATATATCTATATATATCTATATATCTATATATCTATATAGATAGATAGATAGATAGATAGATAGATAGATAGATAGATAGATA